CTGCTTAAAGGCTTGAAGTTGGTAACGTTTCTGAAACAAGCCCTAAATGAGCATTTTTCGGGATGATAATTGTTTCTCAACAGCTAAAGTTTTTTTTCCAGTCTAACCACAGGAGCATTAAGCTTCTGATCCAGATGATCAGCTAACAAGAAGCACCAAACACATTGTGCATATCCTCAAGTCCCTACATTCATAATGTTACCAATGTTATCAAATACTACTATAAACATTCTATGATTCTATGATGCTATCAAAGTAAACAAGGACAGACAGCAGCTGATGCTGTTTCATGTTGAAACAGTGAAGATGAACACATCCCTACACAAAAATATGTCGGTGACACAAGCAGTCTGACTTGTTCCTTCTCCACATGCTCCCCAGTTCTGCTGGAAAATCAATTTCCTTTAGAGAAGCTGTTTCTCTTTGGTTCTTCACCCATAGCCAGGCGTGCAAAGAACTTCCCCTTCACTCCACTCTAGGCTGCTGGTGGGTACTATACCTGCATTCACACAGGACTTAGACAATGTTTTCAGTCCTACAAAGGATCTCAAAAATTGCACATAATAAAGCACTGAGTTTGAACCACAAGTACAATTCTCATTGTGTTAATTTGAAATAAATCAATAAAATTTTCATCGTTTTAGCTTTGGAGCTGGATTTTAAAAATATAAATAGTATAGTAATATACATAATTGTCAATTAGCTATTTTTAGTAGAACAAATATGAAAAGGATAAATAGGGATATTATACAGAATATATATAAAGTAGATTACTATATATAACGTAGATTAATATTGATTTATGCTATTATGCATTAGTTTACACAATACACTTTCACACAATTATTTTTGAGTATTTTAAACTGCAGTAAAAATTAATGCTGATGTAAAGCTAAGATGGAAATAGTCAGGAGTTCAACTCTACGAATTCCAACAGATTCTTCCCACAACACTAAGCTTATCCACAGCTTAACTATTTTATGGCGCAACGTTTTTAACTTCACTTTAAATAAAGCACTATGATTGTAACTTAGAAAGAAAAACAGAAATAAAAATGCTACTGAAGTACTGTATGAGTGAGTTAACAGTATTGTAAGAACTCTGGCTCCTGGAATTTCCTGAGTTTTGAGTGCCTGACTTTGTGACTTGGTACTGCACCAAAACTAAAAATTTACTTTTAAAGAAAAAAGGGGGAAAAAAATTTATTTTGTTTGGGATTTTTCTACATGCTTTTGACTTCCTTAGCACATCTTATAAATTGCCTAAGTACAACCTTACACCTCTTTGTCCAACATCAGCTAAAAAAGAGAGATAAACTTAATAAAGCGGCCTCAGTACAGACTAATCTGTCATATGCCTTATTGCAGAGCACAGTATGCTCCCGTTAGCTAGATCCACTACTTTTCACCTACTTTCTGTCTACTGCTATCTCTAATCCTCAAGAATTAAGGCATGCCAATCTGCTCACTAAACCTTAGTAGCTCCTTATCCTCATAAAATTAAGACTGAAGTAAAAAATGCCTTTAAAAACGTGATATAAAAAAGCGGACGTACGGCTCTGTGAATCTGGATGAGGTATTTAAACTTCTTGTACTTCCCTTCCCATTCACTCTTGCTCCTCTTGTCTGTTTAGACATAAGCTTTTCACAGCAAGGGCTCTATGTATACTTCTCATTATGCTGACATCAAGGCTACCTCAAAGTTGGTCCATAGACCACAGGTGTCATAATCTCCTGAAGCTCAAGCTCTACCAGCTGTCTACCTGATCCTAGCAGCTCTGCTGACTTTTGAAATACCGAGAAGAAATTCATGCAGGCCTCAAGTGCTGTTGTCTATTTCTCCGCTTAACAAGGAAGGAGGTCCAATGCAGAATGCTACTGTGCAAGATGAAAAGAAGCCAAACAAAAACCACCAATGGCCAAACTAACACTGGTCGGGGCACACTGTTTGGTCTCATTAAGGACAATGTCAGCATGGACACAGCTTACACGCTTGTCAAGCACCTTATAGAAAGGAGCCCCAGCTTCTGCAGCTCAACAACATCAGCTAAGTAACAGGGTCACACTCAGAAGGGAAGTGGAGGTATTTTTGGTATGGATTAATTGCTAACACAAAACCTTCTTTAAATGGGCTTTTTACATTATTAACTGGCTTCTGTCAAGCCTCATGCATACACAGCTCAGACGGACAACCAAAGAAACTATCATTGTAACTGCTGATTCCAGACACATGCAAGGCAATCTGCTGAACACCTTTTAAACTGAAATACCAGAGGCATCTCTCCTTGAATAGCATCCAACTCCTTACAGCAACGCTGCGTGTGCTTTGTTTCACTGATACAGAAGACATAAACCAGTCTAGAAAGTGGTCTTAGAATTGATGTTTATTATGCAGGTCCCACATACGAAGATATGACATGAAATATATCTGATGTGTGATATGAGGGCAAACAGTAAATGAAAACCAGAAGATTGCTTGTGTATCCAATCCAAATAGTATTCAGAGGTACCACAGAAAAGAAAATGAGCCAGGCTGAAAAGAAACTTTACAAGCACCACACAAAAGCTATCCTGCAAAGAGCCATATACAGCATATGTGCTTCTAAATCTCATCCTATTTTGAGGAATTTAATCATGGATTAGCCTTTTGCTGCCACCTGCACAGAAATCGATGTTGCACAGAATACTTCAGGGCAGAGAAAATAAGCAGGCTATCAAATAGTTCAACTGACAGACATGAATTGAACTAGGGATCAAAACTTTTCCACGGTAGAAGTTTTGTCCACATTAATTCCTGCAGACAAGTTTCATTGCTGTTCAGTGACATTCATTTTAACGTGAAGTATTATTTCAACTTTGCCCCTTATTTATCCAGTGTAGAAACTACACACAACCATAAACGACAGGTATCAGAGAATCAGCCTGGAGTAGACCAAAGCAGCTGTTTCAAGAGCTCTTGAGAGACTGCTAGTCTGATGAAGACGCTCACATCCACCTTGTGCCGAGATCACAAACAAAAACGAGTGTTTTCCTGCACATCCCAAGGCACATCAGGGCCCAGCCCTGGAGGACCACTGACATCTGGTGGTCACGTCAGTCCTTCTCAAGGACTGCTCGCTGAAGCGCAGAGACAACTGAGGTTTGAGAGGGGGAAGTAAAACTGTTTCATCAATAATTAGCTTGTATCACAGCCCATAGGGCTGCTAGCAAGAACTAAAGCGGCCCACCTCTGGGAATATAAGTGTTCTTATCTAGAACTAACATACTAAAAAAAAAAGAGGAAGGAAAAAGTTAAATATGAATTAATTCTAAAGAAAGCTAAGTCATATATATTGAATTTTACCTTGACTTGATTAGATGATATTTCACAGATGGCCGGACAGAAATACATGCCAGGGAAGTATTAAGTTACAAGCGTTACTCTGTGCAAGTTTATTAACTTAGTGGAATTTGTTGGTTACAAGTAAATGCAGATGAACTGCAATATACAAACTGAGCTGAAGCTGCCAGCACGTTAATAGTATTGTTGGATTAAACTTACTCTAGAGATAATAAAGCTTTTCTAAACAGAGCACATTTAATTCAACAAGTTCTTGAGAACAACTGGGTCATGAAATAGCATTATATAAAACTGTCTTTTTGATAAATAAAGCATTGTTTCCTAGGTAAGATGTTTCTTATTACTGAAAAGAAGCAACAAGACGTAGGTCTTCTTTTGCTAGACAACTAGCGCAATATTAAATTACAAGCAGGAGTAGTCAACAATTTTATCCATTTTGATATCTGCTAGATGGTGGGACTGCCCAGACAGAAACTGCCTTAGTTCTCTCCAGCAAACTTGAGAGGATCTTCTTGACGCTCAAAGCAATTGTGTAGAGGCACCACAGCCACCAGCACTGGATTCAAAATGTACTTAGGCCTATTAGCTCTAGTTTTTGATAGGTGAACATTTAAAGCTATGTTTTGCCTGTTGCAATTATCTACAACTTGTAAACAAAACTCTGAGACTTTCAGACATTCATCAAGAATACAAAAATCTTACTGTCATGAGAATTTTCAGCCCTTCTCAATTGCCTTCTTGCTGCAAAATGATTCTAAGTCTACTTTCAGCTATATGCACATTTCTCATTGAAACGGGAGCTCAGTTTAAACCTAATAAAACTCTCAGCATCTGCTGAGTAGTGGGAAGTAATCAAAGTGTTTTTTCTACACTTTTCCTACATGCTACAACAGTGCAGCTTTGCAAAATTCTGCAGTATAAATCGTATGTCTCCAAATTGACCTGTATTTTTCACTTACCATCACTGAGACACCTCTCCGTAAGTAAACAGATTGCTAAACTACAGTTTCACCTTCAATCTAGGCCACCTAACCAGACTGAAAGATAGTGAGCAATTTTAAATTACTTCCACAAAATGCATTGTTGTGCATACGTTTTCTAGCTGGCTGTGGCACGTTGTGGGCAAAAATTTCATAGAGGCACATGCAATTGCTAACACAGCCAAGCAGTGTGCAAAAAATAGTGCTCAGTGGAAAAAATAAAGGGTACATGGGACACTAATACAGAGACAACTGTATCAAGCCACCCCAAGGAAAGCAGCTAATGTGCACTGAGAGAGTTTGGTTTGACTCAGCCAGGGCTCGCAGCTGAGCTGGGTACCTGGCTGGGCCAAAGGCGACCCAAGAGGTTTTCGAAAGACAAGTGTCAGGTTTTTCACTCCCATATGTATTTCAGCAGCAGTTTAGCATCTGTTCACTGCTGATGCCTCTGGAGAATTTCGCTCGTGTGGCCCACAAATCACTGGTGTTCATATGTGTTTCAGGTCTCTTCCTGTACTGCTGCATGAACATACAGTGACAAAAGTGGCTCCACAAGACTGCTTTTTGACACATTCCTAAAGGTCCAACTGCAAATCAATAGACATTAATGAGTACAGAGACATTCACTCCCGTACACAACAGGCACAGAGGCTATGTTCGATTTAAATCCTACTCCGAGCATTTAAAGTAAGTGTTATTTTCAGTACTTCAACCATGCTGGTTTCTGCACAGTAACTCATTTCACCCACAGTGAAAAGCTGCCACATTGCTGCATATCTATTAAATAAAAGCATTATAATGAGGTCAGCTACTGGGTAAAGGAGACAATAACCACTTTAACAAAGCACTGTCACAGCTCTTACAGGTCCTTATCTGAAAAGAAAGTCTCTTCTTTCTGTTGTTGTTCCCCCAACATGTATTTTCCACAAATATCTCGTCATTACCAATCCAATTATACAACAGCAGGAGACAATTACTGTGTGACAACGTTCTAAGTCACAGACATAACCCTTCTTCTACTTTTACGTTTTACTGGGGATATTTTCCTGATGCCTTCCACTCACCATCAGGGACAGACGGGTCTAAAAATAATTTTGCCTGGTTCTAATGGACAGCATCACGTTGGCAAACCTCTTCCGAAGACACATGAAAGCAAGATAACCCACTCCCGCCAGCACGCTGACCAGCAGGGTGGTGCCGAGAACCCTGGGCGCCCTTTTCTTGGCCACACGGAACGCCGTTGGCAGAACGGCCGAGATCAATATATTGTTGACGTGTCCTAAAACTTTGTAAAAGGCTTTTCTCTTCAGGACACGCTCATAATAGGCTTCCAAGTTGGGCCGCTTTCCGTTTCCCCAGTTTCTTCTCGCTAATCCCAGAAACTTCAGGCGATGTAATGTGACGGCAAGTGATACATCTGCCAGACTGAAGAAATCACCACAGAGCCAAGGCTGATTTTCATCTTCTAAGCAGAGATAAAACATGAAGAATTAGGAGCTAATGGAATACAAGTATACGCAGAAGCCTCCATGCGCTAACATTGAGTTTAGTGCTATTTCAAAATGCTGTCTAATAAACACCACTAACACTTCAGCTAAGATATGACTTTAATCAATGAACATTTTACTAACCCCTGTCCGTTCTTCACATGATATTCTAAAGCCTTAGGCTCAGCACCTTGACCTACATTTGTTAAGGAAAAAAGAGCGCATTTCAGGTTCATAAATTAAAACTCACAGTAAATGCTTATTTTCCTGAACTACTTTTCTCCAATCTGGATTAAATTAAACAGGAGTGGAAAGGAGGAAGGCAGTTTAGCTTTTACTGAAAAGCTACCACTTGCCTGAAGAATCTATCGTCTTGCCTATGTCACTCCGCTCTATGGCATTCACTCAAGAGCTGCTAATTTGCTGGAGACTTTCAAGTCAAAAAGAAACGGATCTGACAACCGACAGGCACCAAACACACCAGCTCAGCGAGAAGAAATTGTCTACTGGTCCTTCCTTTGTGCCTCTAGACCCCAAACCACAGGGGTTTTACACAGAGAAGTTTGAGAAGCGATGGGATATTCACACTGCCCACCACTAGTGAGGAGCACAGATGGAGGTCCCAGGCTCGCTCTCCAGTCAAAGGAAAGAGGTGAATCTTCCTGGGATGGCTCAGAGCAGGCACTGCCAGGCAGCATCACCCCTCTAACTTCAGTGATCTAGACCATCATTACCTGAAAGGGCTGACCTGTACTGACTATATCAAGAGCTTTTGAAACCCAGGATATGAAATTTGGTAGCATAGCTGCCACCATGAGCACTCTGCTCTAGCCTAGATCTCAAACAGGACTACAGCATTCCCTCCTCATTTGCAACCTTGTGCAGTTCTTCCCACACAACAGGCACACAAAGCTGATGGCATGAACATTCAGCAGCACCTCTGTGGAAATGGAGAAATTTTACATTGTCCCTTTCAACTCATTTGCCACCAGAGGCAAGGAACAGTTTGGCACACCGCTGGTACCAGTCCATTTCGATCGATGCAGGTCTGGAAGAAAGGCCTCTGTAGAGAATGAGTGTATCCTATGTTGCTGAGAGGATACCTGGGGATTCATCCTGTGCATTGAGTAAGTAAGACGATGAAAAAGAAGACCAAAGAAGCTAACCTGTGTGAAGGAAAGATGCCCACAGTGGCAGCAGCAGTAAGTGACTGAGGGATTTGAGCAACAGCAAGAAAAGCAGAAGTTCAGAGGTTGACCAGGACCTGGAGAAGCATTGCTCACAAACTTCAAAAATGTGAATACCTCAGACAAAATTCCAAGAGGGAGGTAACAGACGTATGTTTTACTAAATCCTGTGATCCTGGAGGCTTTCATAAGCTCATCAGTATTGCATCAGTTGACTCTTTGGAAAGGCTATTTAGCAGAGAAAGCAAAGGGACTGCTGGAAATAGTGACAGACCTAGTTTGCTGAACAAAATCCTACCACCCTTTGTGAATTAAAACATTTTCTGTGACTCTTTAGCTGTTGAGACAGTAGAAAATTTAACCTATATTTTCAATCACTGGTTCAAATCTACTATCTTGATAGTAACTGATAATTATTACAACAGCTATTTATAGAGTCAAATGCAAAGAGTTATTGATTTGAGCAGATGCAGTTGATATTGACTGATGCTCCACGCAGCTCCCAGTGAAGTCAGAGGAAGGATACCTATTGGCACCACTGGGAGTTGGACCAGACTCTGAATAAGCAGAAGACTCATCCAATGTAAACAAAATTTGACTTTCATTTGGGTGGACAGCACGTAAACACCACTGCTTTCCAAGAGCATTTCCAAGAGGGTGTGAGAGGGGAGGGGTTGCTTAATGATTAAAGCACTTATCCAGATTGCTAATTCTGCATATACCACAAACGATCAGCACAGCATTTGCACAAGATTGTAATAAACCTGTCTTAAACACTAAGGTCATGATCAATATAGTGAACTGAAGCCTACAACTACAACATCAAGAATAACTTCCTGTAGTTAAGGTTTTTCTTATTTTGTTGATAAAATACTGCAAAATTGTGCAGCTAATTATACTCACTATGCTGAAAATGTGATCAAGCACTGTCCTAAGACAGTGAGAACTGACTGACAGCAACAGTAAACTAAACTAGCATTTAAAACAGAATTGATTCCTTCTGTGATATTAAGTATAAGTTAAAATAAGTATATGCTAAAAGTATCAAATCAGATACACTAAAACCAGTTCTATAATGGTGCTGTCAACAAGTTACTCAGTCTCACCAAATGTAAGCATCAACAGGATTTAGCAAGAACAGTTTCTTACCTGGTGTTTCCTCATTTCGCCGCTGCAATTCAGTCTCAACCTGATCCAAAACTTTTTCCAGTTCATCCAGTATTTTCTTTAGGTATTTTATATTATCATGATCCAGCAGTTTAGACTAAATATACAGACAGGTTAGTGTTTTACTCATGGTACAGGGTTTATACACTTTTATCAGAGAAACTTTTCCTTAAGATACTACAGTGCTTATTCATCAAATACGACTATTTTCTCCACATAGTCAGCTGGGTACCATTTGGATACTGGTGACAATTCAGATAACAGAAGAAAAACATCAGAGATGCGAGACATCGAGGTTTGCCTCACCCTGCAGGGTGCTCAACAGCCCAACACCAGCCCTGAGGTGTACTTATCTTTGAAGTCAGTGGGACCAGTCCAAAACCTCAGCACACACCTGAAGCGTGTAGCTGATCTGGGGGACAGACTGCTTCATGCCTTGTAGGGTTAAACCACTGCATGACATTACTGGTAACGACAGGTGAAACAAACGTTTACGTCGTGACAGGAAAAATGTGACACTCATAGCTCATAATAAAAGGAGGGAATACAAAGAGTTTTCTTACTTTAAGGCGCTTCTGTTTTGCTATATAGGCATCCTGAAGGTCTGGATTTTCTTCCGCAAGTTTCTTCAGCTCTGATTCCGTGTTACTTATTTGGCCTGATACAAAAAAAAAACCAAAGGACGTTAGGTATCCAAAGGTACCCATAATGGAATCCATAGGAACTGATCAACGGCTTGTGTATGAATTTCAAATTTTACTGATTTCTACTACATGCATATAGCCTTTTCTCTCCTTAAAATGGGGCTTTACTTAAAAATGCCATACTTACAGAACTAGAATACCAAAAGACAGGGAAAAATAAGCTATCTTCTAAAAATAAATATTTCTAGTAATAAACTGAGAACAAAAGAATAATTACAGGGCATGAATCACCTCTCACTTGTACTTGATAATTAAGATTAGTTCCAATTAAGTCTTATAAATTAAACTGATAAAAAATTATTGCTAGAGAATAATGAACTCACTGTTTTATATATTCTTTGTTCAACCTGACATGACTCTGAAAGCCATCTTTCAACATACAAATTAAAAAATGGAAGGATGTAATCATACAACTAAAATCTTACATATGCCATTAATTACTTAATTGGCTTTGGTATGCATAAACATAATACATTACTGGCTGGTGACTTATTATATCCGGCACTATGAAAAAGATCAACTTTTCAAATCCAAAAACTAAACTATCAGGGACAAGTTTGAACAAGCAAAGGAATTGTTTAGGAACATCCATGAGCTATTAGAAAAAAAGGCTCAAATGAAGAAAGCAGGCTATGCTTTAAGTATAAAAAGGTAAGAAAACATCCCACCCAATTTAGACAAGTAGTAATTTTAGCTCTACCTATATGAACATGTGTGTGTAAACTGACAACAATTTATACCAACTAAAAGCTAGAGGGGAAGAATACATACAGTCAGCAGAACACAAGACAATGTTGTAAAGTGAACTGTAATAAAAGCACTGACTATTACCATGTGAAAGCAGAAAAGCTATCAATAAAGCCTACAAGTAAAGTACAACTGTTCAATAACCAGTTAGCATCCACATTTGGAGGAAAAAAACCCCAATCAGACAGTACACTGATATAAGAGAATAATTTGTGTTACTTCAGTAAAAATAATAATTCTAATTACTCTTGCTGAAATTATCATTCTCAAGCTCTCCAGATACTTCTTTTTATAAAAAATTTATTTTTAAATAACCATTGATCATTGGACCAGCAACATTGACTTCTAAATATTTTGCAATGCTCAAGAAGTTTCCAGCAGACAGAAAGAAAACTAATTCTGCGCTGATGTTTTATGAAGGATAATTCATGCAACTATAAGGAAAACTAACTGCCTGACTTCACTGCTGACAACATAATGGTGTGGCTAATAAAAGAATTGACTTGCCAAAAAATATTAAGGAGGAGGAGAACACAGTTTGTTGGAAATAGAACTTCTCAAACTAACACAGTATCCTCTTTTATGATATAATGAATTTGGTAATAGTGTAGTTGTATTACATTCTAAAGTCTCTGCAGTATTTGACTTTGTTCTATGGAGCATTCTAAAAATCAACATGATACAAAGCACTGAATCTGACAAAAAAATCAGAGATCTCAGAACATAACTGTAAAGTGGGTATTGCCATCCAGCCACCTTCTTGGGATGTGATCCTTGTCCTAGAACTATCTAGTTCTCTTGCAATACTTAGAAGGAAACATAAAAACATTAATCAAATTTTGCCATGGCACAAAGACTAGAAGGGACATAAATCAAGAAACAACATGGCACTGATATCCAGTGGTCTGGACTGGGCCTAAGCAACCAATCGATGTTTCAACACAGTCCAATGTAAAATATAAATTGAAGCAAAAGATACAGGTCATGTTTCTTGGCGAGAGGGCTCCTAGTCTGCAAGCAGTTCTGAAAAGCTAGACTGAGGTCACGATCCATGACCAGCTGAACAAGGATTCCCAGCGCAGTTCTGTGGCTTAAAGTAACACTGGAGTCCTTGAACATAAAGACAGAGAAAAAAAACCCAAAACAATTTATATCCCTATCTGACACCAAAGTGAACAGAATCTGCTGTCCAGTTGTGGCATCCAAACCCAGCACTAAAAAAAAATAAAAAAAAAGAAGAGCTATGAGAACTGAAAGACTATTTGCCGAGAATTTTTCATAGAATGTTGTCTAAACTAGGTATTTCTGCAAACTACTGGATATGAAACAGGAGTTCATTTCAGAAAGTTCTCTGTTATAAAAAGGGGACTGGGAAACGTAATCCACAATTATTTCCTCTGCCCTTAACATCTTTTTTCATGGGAAATTGGTATTTATATAAAAGTCTATCAGGTAAAACACTGATCCCAAAGGAAGTCAAAGGACATTTTACCACTGATTCTACCAGACCACCAGTTCATCCTTTATCCTGATTCTATATTGTTGCATTATTTGCACTCAGGATTCTGGTTTAAATTGTGCTTTAACAATTTCCATTGGTATGATGAACCCAAGCTACTCGCTTCTTCACTTTTTCTCTTTTTCCCTAACCCCAGCACCAAGCTGACACTAGTACATTCCTCAAACAAAAAGGGTCTGAGGATTCTCTTATAATGTGTTAGATAAAAAGATTCTCTTTAGTTGAAGCTAATCTGCATTTGCACCACTTTGAGAGGAAAGCAATTGCTTTAATTTAATAGGTAAACTTATTACAAGGTTATAAGCACAAAAAAAAAAGGGTTTCCTTCAATGTAGTCGTTCAATGAGAGCAGTAATAGAGCTGTTCCCTAGAAATTACTTTACAAGCATAAACAGCAAAATCAGAAAATAAAATACTCACAGCTGTCACAGCTGCCATTTTCTGTTATGCACAAGAAGCACATTTTCAATTATCAGACAAATTAATTCCACAGACACCTCAAAAATGACACTTCCTCCTTCCCGTTTTCAAATCATAACAGATTCCAAAATCAACAAAATGTATACGCACAAATTATCAAGGACTGCAACTAAAGCTGGAAATCTGCGCTCTATATATTTCCCCTTAAGATGCACTGAAGACACAAAGTGAATGTAATGCAACATCCTATTAACTGGTAGGCATTCCGAGCTATACTAGTACATACTACGAATTCTGCTGGTAGCATAGGCTGGAATCATGGAGTCCACAGTTAACTCGGGGTGCAGGATGCAGCCATGAGTGTAGGCATCCATAGGCAAGGAGTCTAAAAGCTCTCTATAGTGTTGCACCCTTGGATAATACATGCTTCCTTCTTCTGGCATTAATCTTGGTACTTCCTCTGCAATACAAAGTTTAAAAAGTTAAGAAAAGAAGAACCATGTAATTGTCCAAAAGCAGTATTTCCAAAGTTACGTCGGTTACGTCCAACTGGCACAGACGACAGCCACAATTACGAAAGCCTCACTTGTTCCCCACCGTAACTCAACAGTGTTATACAGCTCAGAGGAACGTATATACACATATTTCATTTTAAAACATTTGAGTACTTCCAATTCCTATGCAGCAACCCACATAAACATATATTTCAGAGGCCTTCAAATCAGAAAACTGGATTCAGCGTCTATTTTGTATTTCTAGGAATGGGTGACCACGGCACACAACCCTTTAGCCATCTCAGGGTAAGGCATAACTGAGGTTCCAGTGAGTTGTTACAGCTGAAACATTACCACAGCTGCAACCCTCTAGAGTACAGGAATCCTGCACAAAGCACAGTTAGAAGTATTCCTGCACACCACTGAGTTTTACCCTGCTCTCCATCTGCCTGGACCCTGACTCCTCATTCAATGAGAACACCAACATTACATATTAAGTTTACCCAACGATGAAGTTTTTGTCATGCCTTAGAAATCACAGCGCTAAACCCCTGCAATGCAAAATGCTGACTCTTCACAACTAAAAAAATACCACTATTTCCTTCAAAACTTGAGGCAATTTGTTTTCTGGCAATATAGACACCAAAAATTTCAAAGCCTACACGTGATCACCTCTGAGTTTTTTCTTCCTAGTTTTCTACCTCTTCACTCCATTTTGTCTCCAAAAATAATTTACTCATTCTACTTCCTTTTTCTGCTCAAGACTATTCCGGAATTCAACATCTTTCTTTCTTTTTTCTCACAGAGAAGCCGGACCTGCCCAACAACAGCAGTTGTGCAGCCCTCTGGCCAACATGTTATTTTTCGCGGCCATTTCCCCAGAGGGTCAGCACATCGCAGCGCTGCCACTACTGACTCCTCCATCCTTCCTGACTCTCCACTGTTCCTGAAGGGGTAAAGGAGGCCAGTGGTGGGTTTTTACTTACAACTGTTTGTAAAGGTGCTGGAAGGCCTTCAGCTCGTTTTAAAGGAACATGTTTTTACCCCATACCACCAACTATTAGGACAGCCCATTTACTTGTGAAACCATAAACATTTTCAGGTCCTGAACGAAGTAACATGCAGAGATTTGCAGCTGACCCCAACGTTGCTGCGCGCTCACGCTATGGGTAAGTGGGGAAAGATTTCACACCGCAACACCTATGGGATTACCATCTACAAACGTTGCTTCAAGATAATCGATAATCTGCGTCGCCTCGCAAATGATGTTTTCCCCATGGATCAGGACAGGTACTTCTCCAGAGGAATTTAAGCGCATGAACCACGGTTCGTTGTGCTCGCTCAGCGGCAGGTTCACATCGTGCTCTTCGCACTTCAGGGCCTTTTCGGCTATCGCCAAGCGCACCTGCAATGGCACCACGGGGGTTACACCCGGAGAAGCGCTCCCCGGACAGCTGTCCCCGTTCTGCGGAGCCAGCCCGGCGCGGCCCC